TGCTCCCCACAGACAGCAGGAGGGCAGGGTCCTTGTGAAGGGACAGTGGGTTTTGAGAGAGCACGAGGCAAAAGAGCTGTGGCCATAGCAGGGGTCTGGCCCACGGTGCCCACTGCCCAGCCAGTGGTGAGAAATGAGTGTGAACGTTTCTTCAGCCCAAAGATGAACCTAGGGTGCCCTGGTGACCTCAAGAAGAAACGGTTTCCCTTGGGCTGCTAAACAGAGCTCATGAATGAAGTAGGGAAACACAAAGACTTTCAAGATGTGTCACCTAATTGACTTCTAAGTGACTGCTGATTATTTGATTGAGTTGAAGGTGAGAGGAAGACTCGTGGTCGCACACAGTCTGCAAACACCTGCAGTGTGTGATGGGAGGAGTGAGCCAGGAGCCGGCTCGGTGAACCAGGGAGTGAGCCAGGAGGTGGACAGCCCCAGGCTGGTCCGTGCCTCTCCCCGAGGAAGAGTGCACCGTGCAGCTCAATGTTTAGCAAATACAGTGAGCTGGGGCACAGAAGTATGTGGAGTTTGACAGGAGAATGACCTGAAAATGAATCTCAAAGTGTGTCTTCCCTGCAGGCTGGAAACAGAAGAAAATCGAATTCATTATAATTATTATGCTTCCAAGATCAGAGGAGAAGCAGGCTTTCTCTTGTGATATGCAGAGAAAAACTTGCAAACAGTTTACACAAATGCCGTGAGTCCTGTGGGGCGGGCACTGAGGTCCGTGGCGGATGGAATGGCAAGAACGGCGCCTGCAGCCCGGGATGGCATCAGGCCTCTGCTGGAAGCAGCCCAGAGCCCGGGCAGAGCCTGCCCCGGCCGGGGGAAGGGTGAATGTGAGCTCTGTGACACTCAGGTGTGCTTGTGCCAAATGTCACAAGGGTTGGAGTGATTCTTGTCAGTATAAAGACAGAAACAACAGAAACATGAATGTTGCGAGTAGCGGTTCCCCAGGAGCGGCCAACAGCCTCTCTGCCCTTGTGCACAGAAAACACCGCCCTGCACGGGCCATCCATCCCTTGTACATCGAGCAGCACGATTGTGGATTCGCAGGTGCCACTCACGGCAGGTGAGC